AAGTCAAATGAAATATTTAATCTCAACGTTTATAAATTTATTTTTTTAGTACAATATCCGTGCATCGCACGGGTGACACACTAGTACTTGTAATTATATATAATACTTTATTTGAGATGAATAATTAAACAATGTCACGACTTCAAAATAACCGCTTTGAAGTTGGAAATAAATGATACCTTATCTCAACTAAGGATTAAAGGACTCATTTAGACCAATCTCAACTCACACCAGTAGAGTAGGTTATATCCTTTTTTCTTGATCCAAGAAACATTCCCTCTATTATTGGATCTCTGCACGGTAATATGCGGCAATAGTCTGGGAGCTTCAGACTTCAGAGGCTTCAATATAAGTCTCGTCGTATTCAATTTCCATTTCTACATTGTAACATGCAGCTTTCATCCAAAAATAGCAGTAAATTGAGCTCCAAATTCTCAGTGATGGTGATGGAGATCTTGTTTCAAACTAGTTTGTTACATTAGAATATACATTGGGCAATTTTTGTGCAGAACTTGTGTGATCCAACTATAATGGAGGAGGTTACTGCTAGGATCAAGACGTACAGAAAACTTAAAAGAGCAAGGGCAGTCCATTCAGCAATTGATGGAAAGCTCTGCTGCCATGTGATGCTTGTTTGGACTTTAGATAAATGGGAACAGATTATGGTGAAAGTGAGTGGTAATCTTGATGAACTACTGTTTCCATAGCGATCGATTAAAGTAGTTCAGAAAAAAATGGGATTTCTTGCAGTGGCCTGAGTGGTGATACAGTGCAGATCTAGCTAGACTGATCCCACGATGTATATCATTAATGGGGGGCTTGGTGAGGGAGGCGGCGTGAGGAAAACAAAAGCCGTACCTGCTTCAAGAAAATAGCAGCAGCAGCAATGGCTCCACCTTGAGGACCACCAGTGTTCACCATGTAAGCCACTCCTGCTTTCATGGACTCCCAATAACTCACCTCCATGGGCATCCTTCGAAGTTTCTCCCCAGTGACCTCTAAGGCTGCAAGTACCTTTTCTGTCAGTTCATCACTGGGTGTAAAAACACCTGATTTCCATACCCAAAAAAATGTAAAGCAAGTATCTATGCAAGGAATCTCTTTGTTCAAATAATTCAAGAATTTCAACTTTGCAGAAAGAAGTACAAGAATGAGTAGTTCTTAAAGAAAGCAGGTAAAAAGAATTCATATTCTCATTCCCTCCACATCTGCTTCAAGATTCATCCTTCATTGTCCTAATATATCACAATGCAATTCTCTATTGCTATGATCTTTGACATTATTTTCAAACTACGAGTTTACTGAAATATAAAAAACTTAGTTTGTCAAACCATATACCCACAATAGAGCGTCCAAGAGCAACAGCACAAGGCCCAGTCAATGTAGCCAGATCAACTATCTGCACGCAACTATAAGTTCATTATAGACCCAAAAACACAAAGCGAAGAAGAAAACAACGCCTCCAATAATGATACAAAAAAGTAAAACATAGTAAAGAATTTAATGATCTTGAAAGTTCATGCATCTTCCATTAAAAACGTATACTTTTGAGGTTCTCATTCCATACTGGGAACATTTGTAAAAAAAATACACAAATGGGTGAAAATAGAATATTTTTTTTGTATTCCCCAAAGATAGATGTATACATTTGAGGTTTATGTATCATATACAAAAAAACATGTAATTTGAGGTTCTCATTCCAGAACATAAACATGTCTCTGGATTGCATGGATAAGTAAAAAGAGAATAAAATACTTGGTGTTCCCCAAAGATAGAAATTCAAAGAAAATGTGGTTAAGTGTACCTTCGCTACACCTTGATTACAAACATATACCAAAGCATCTGCAAGTGTTAAGTCTTCCTTCAGCGTCAGTATTGTTTACCTACACTTGAACAAAAGTAACGTTCTTAAATAAAAAAATTTGAGATAAAAGGGAGAGTAACACCTGGATAAATCAATCTTATGAAATAGGATGATCAAGTAGATTGTATATTTCATAGAGTAAAAATAGTTGTTGGAATTTCATTAGTTGGAAAAGAGACTTGTTTCTATTAAGCCAACGGAGAAACGCAACTAAGGCTGTCAATGGATTAAATTTTGATCAGAATCCGATGAAATTAATGGGATGGGTTTAGGGTTTCAATCCGATAACCCGATCAAGATCAGAATTCGATAATCTGTTAACTAAATAGATCAAATATGGATATATGTCAATCCGATCNTCAATTTGTTGGATTAACTACTCGTGGCTTCCTATGATTTTGTAAACGGGAATGGAGATGTCACTTGATTCATTATGGCTCAATTTCTCCATCTCATCATCCTTTTGATCGAATTTTTTTATATTTATCCAAACATATGTCAACTTCTCTAATCTTCATTCTCTTATACATCATTATCCTGTGTGACATTCACTTGTTAACGTCTATTTACACTTCTTTTCTTCATTCTAAACTGACCATACATCTATCTTCACTTCAATTATACATGTACGCCTTCATTATGTCGTTAACCATTGCAGATACAGTGACAATTCTATCTGATGTTCCAGGAAAATACTTGTAATTGCTTGACAACTGAATGCGTGCTCCAGATTGTGACTGGAAATCACTGATTGTCGAACCACCTTTCCCAATAATAGAGCCAGCTTCAACATTTGATAAAAGGAACCTAACACGAGTGGCTTTCTCCTCATTGCCTGCTTAATTACAGAGATTAAGAAGAAGGATAAGAACTTTCAAGATGCTGAATCACTGAAAGGAGAAAGTACATGCTCTCAATCTCAACGCTTGTAATGCATGAGTGCATTGCTTTTCTTTCACCTTATTTCATATTACTATAATTGAAATTACCAGAGAGGTAATAAAGCCAGTGACTTAGAATCGTTGATGAGTACCACATTAATAATGAGAAACAAATAAATAAATTGAAGCTATTGTATTCGCCACTTCAATAAACTTGGAATTAGGGCTGTCAATTGATTGAATTTTGATTCGAATCCAATGAAATTAATGGAAGATGGATTCAGGATCTTAGTCCGATAATTCGTTAACTAAATGGATCAAATATGGATATAGGTTAATCCGATCCGATTTATTATAAATAATTAAGTCGGTAAAATATTTTTATGACATGTTACTTGTCACTAAAATAAATAAATGAAAAAATAAATAAATTTAGAATAAAAAAGTCATCAAATTCAAAATATAAAAAAATATATAAGAAAACCAATTAACATGTACACAATGTTCTAAAAAGTATAATGTGTTGCGAGGCGTGGATGTTTCAGGCTAGGCAAGTCTAGACGAAGCCTATGCGTAAAAAAAACATAAAAATGTATTTTCTTATTTTAATATTATTTTAAATTTTTAACTAATCTAAAAATTATTTAATAATACGTACAAATTACTGTACCAAATGCAGTTTTAAGAGCTTAACAAAATAAATATATTCGATAAACATAATATAGTATAATAGAGCTAATTGAAATATTTGTAGATTTTTAATTTTTTATTAATTAGTAAAAGGTGGAGAAAACGATTAATCTAATAAATTATAAATAACTATTTATATGCCCTTATTTGAGCCCCATTTTTTTTTAAAAAAAAATGCATTCTTAAATAGGATTTTGATATTATTTTAACCACACATTATTCAGTAAAATAATATTACACGCAAATTTAAAATATTTCTTTATTTTTTAACCACTCATTTTCAATCAATACACTATTCAAAAATGTATTTAAAAAAAAAAAATTGGGCTCAAATAAAACCGTAATAATAACTACAGTCAAACCAATTGTACAAAACACTATAGTCAAAACATAATGTACAATGTACTGCCAAACCAAATGAATTCTTATCTCACATCGAAAGTTTATAATAAAATACTTGGAAATGTCCTCTATAAATGAGTCAATAAATTGGGCAAGCAACTTTTTTTTTTTTACTTTCAATCCAATTGGCTAAAAGTTGAAAATTTATAATTATTAAACCAGAATTGAAAAAATTGGAAAAATAATAAAATAATAATAAAAAAAGTTAATATCAATATTAATTTTATTTTCCTAATTTCTTTAATTTCGAATTGGATATTCGATAGTATAGCAAATTGGATATGGACTTAACAATCAAATATCTGTTAGATTATCTTATCGGATCGGATATGGGCACATCCAGTCCATATCCGATCAATTTACCTCCCTAATTACAACTAATAAAGATTCTTTTTCTATGATTTGCAAGAGAACAAGAACTGCATAGGTAAATATGTAATCAAAATAGCCCTTTTCCTTTATCAATAATCGCACAACGAAGTATATTACACATTTTACTGAACTCAGTCACTTCAATTGAATTCCAAAACTTCACAAATTTTAGTTTTCTTATAAAGCAAGACCAATCACATTCGGTGTCATAAAATATCTTTAGTACTTTCAAAAGTGAAGGTGAGTTAAGAAAAATGACCTCTGGTAATGTGCATGATGAAACTATTTTGAATTCCCACTAATATAATTCAAGACAAATAAACATAGAGAATCATCAGTATAAAATCAAAGAAAATAACATAAAAATACTACCCATTAATATACACAAAACAGGTAATAATAAATTGAAATACCTCGAACCTTTCTTGTAGTAGGATTAATGATCGAAACAGATTTCCCAGAAGAAGACTTCTTCCACTCCATCAGCATAGCATTTGAACACACCTCCATCAATTATCTCTGCATAAACTCCATTTCCAGCCATTGCTACTGCTGTAAAACTCCTCAGAAATTCTCTGCCAAGTTTTAGAGAGGAAAAAGTGAAGAATGGGTTTGCTTAATTGCTGATAAGGGACTGGAGTGATAGAGAATCAAAGTGTTTTGTGCTTTTCTTGAATTGGACTGGGATTGTATAAATATTGGAAGAAAGGGAACCACACTTGTTCAAGACGGATTTACAGACAACATTTGACATCAATATTTTCGTGATTTTTAGATTTTACGAGGTAGCTACTGAAGCTACATTTTGTCGTTTGGTTAATTCGTTTTTGTTAGGAATATTGGGTCTAACTCCACCTAATAAAACCGGCTTATTAGGGGAGGATTGCCCTCACCTTATTAAGTGGATCATTTATATTTTCCCAAATAATGTG